TTCTCATATATTCCACATAGTATAATGTATGCAGTGCTGTCCGCAACATAATACAACAAAACATCTATAATAAAAAGTTTCAGCTGCAGATAAAATATAATATGCATGCAGCTGAAGTTAATCAAACTTTTTGTTTAATCAAATGCTCCGAGCTGCATGGGGTTTGTGAACTCGACGGGTCTGCACGAAGTAGAAATGCATGCACTTGAGCGAAAAAGAAAAACAAAACAACTGATAGCTCACGCTTGCGAGGCAAATGCTGCAGCAGGTACAGTCGGCTGTATGTACGGAAGCAGAGGATACGCAGCAGTTGCGGGGTACTGCCTGAAGTTCAGCTCCTGCGGGGGAGAAAGCATTCACAAAATATGCATATAGAGGCTGTAGCAGTTGACGCCCTCGCAGCAGCAGTAGCAGCAGCAACACCAACAGCAGGAACAACGCCTACAGGGACAGCAGCGGGAACAGGAGCAGCAGCAACAGCAATATGAGCAGCAACAGCAGTAGCAGCAGCAGCAGCAGCAGCAGCAGCAGCAGCAGGAATAGCAGCAGTTTATCAAACAGAAAGTACCTGCGCGGTAGGCGTGCTCTGCGCGTAGGCGGAGCCAGGAGCAGAAACTTCCAGTGACTGGGGTATGCTTGCGAGCTGCTGCTGCAGTAGCTGCTGCTGTAGCTGCTGCTGCAGTAGTTGCTGCTGCAGTAGCTGCTGTTGCTGCTGCTGCTGTAGAGGTGTCAGCTGCTGCAGCGCCGACGCTGCAAAACTTGAGGGAAACTGCTCCACCCAGGAGGAGCTGCCGCTGCTCTGCTCTTTATCCTCAGGCCAAGAGGGAAGAGCTGACGAGGCAGACTGAACGAAAGTCTGAAATCAAGGAGTCCTCATATGCTTGCATGCATGCATGCATGCATGCATGCGTGGTTGCGTGGGTTGTGGTGTGTTCCTCTTCACCTGCGCCGCGTACNTGCATGCATGCATGCATGCATGCGTGGTTGCGTGGGTTGTGGTGTGTTCCTCTTCACCTGCGCCGCGTACTGACCGTGAGTTTGTCGGTAGGGACGCCGTAGCTCCGCACGTCCGCTTCTCTCTTTGACTGGTTGACGATTGCTGTTGTGAGCCTTTTCAGGGTATTCACGCTTTCAGGTTTCAGCAATTTCGTGAGGGCTTGAACCTAAGGAGCTTTCCTATGCAGTGAAGGGGCGAGCCGAATCGCCATTGCTGTTCTTACGGATTGCTTGAAGTCGTTGTACTCTTCTCTAGGAACTTGTGTTTGAATGCATGAAGTACAGCGTAGGAAATGAAGATAAAGAGGTCTTTACCTTCAACAAATTTCGGCAGAGACGGTGGCCCTGGAGCTGCAACAGTGTTGAACGATAGGCAAGGTCCGCACTGGCGGCTGAAAATTAGGTTTCTTACATTTCAGTTCCTCGCCTTTGCTGTTTGCTGTCGAGTCCGGTAACGCGAATCTGGGATATTCTCCATCATTCTCTATCAGACGTCGGAGGTTTTCCTCGTGAGCCGCTCGGATTCTGCCGGATCGCTGAGCAATTTCCGAAGTATTTGAAACGGCAAGAGGCAGGCCAGCGATCATCAGCAGCCCGAAATGCATCTTCAAGCGGCAATAAGGCGAAAAATTCACACAAAGATTCCCCATGTTCCCTTCACCCGCGTGCATATTCCACAATCGAGGGGTCCTCATGTTCAGAAACGTGATCTGTGCATACACCCCGCTGTTTGTTAGAACGCGCCTTCAACCGCCTTGAAATCCTTGAAACAGCTAAAACCCAGTAATGCGGAAATTAGTTACTGTCCCGCTGAACATGCCTTGAAATTATATGCATATTCCAAAACCCTCTGAGGGAAAGCAAAATAAATGACACGGCAACGGTTCTGAGCTCGTCGCCTCATCACATCCACCTGAAGGCTCTTTTTCGTTCGCGTTACTGCACTCCAAAGCACCGCATTTCACGGTATTTCTTGCGCAGAAACGAAAAAATTGACTCTTCAAGTCTTGGAACATCTTCGATACCCTTCACGATTTCAAAATTCAACAATACGCCTTCTTTGTTGTAGTGGTTTAGCATGGGTTTGGTGAGCTGTTCATGCACGTCAAGCCTTTTCTGAATAGTTTCCCTTGTGTCGTCATCGCGTTGAATTAGCTCTGCCATTCCACCGCAGCGCATACATTCCTTCTTTGGCAGGATGGCTGGCAACTTGAACGGAGGTTTATCAATATCGGCGACGTTGAAGTTCTCCCCGCACGTTGTGCATATTCTCCGTCCCAAGAGTTTCTTTAGGAGTATTTCAGCAGGCATATGAAAGTTGATGCATGCATGCGGCGGTGCAAATGTACGCAGCGCTTCTGCCTGCTGTAGGGTTCGGGGAAACCCATCGAGGATCCATGAGGTTTGTTTGCTGGCGCTGCGGATGTGTCGTTTGCACAGCTCGGCGGCAACAGCATCTTGAATCAAAAGACCGCTCTCAACGCGACTTTTGTTTATCTGAAAGCTTTCATTATGCGGCGCAGCAGATGTACAGCTGCCGGCAGCGAGCTTAGCTCTAATCAGATCACCCATAGACACATGAGAGACCCCCCACCGCCTCGCAAATATCTTTCCATAGGTTCCCTTGCCGGACCCCGGGGGCCCCGCAAAGATAAGCACGAGGCCTCTTCGTATGAATTCTTGTTTTGCTGTCATTATAACAGAGAAAACGCCAGACAGTTCAACAAGGAGGCGATCACCGTAGCGGTGTGTCACTTGAGGCGATGAGGCGGCGCTTCAGTGTACACTGTCGACAGAACAGCTTCAAACGAAAAGCGACCGTGTCATTATTTAAATCAAAAAAAATGTACACACGAGAATAACAACGAGATTTACTCTGCTAACAAACAGCTGCCACCGCGCCAGCCAGGGAGGGGCCCACCTGAACCCTTGTTTTGAGTTTACTACACCTTCTATGTAAACCTCATTTGAGGTATAATATATGAAGAGGAAAATAAAAAACAACAGACATGCAAAGGAGATAGTTGTCAGGGTTCATCTTCTTGGGCTCGCCCCGCCTGGGCAGTCCATCCAGCAGCCCCACAGACTGTTGAGTGCATTGGAGTTGGTGAAAGTGTTGTTGATGACTTGAGTATTATTTATTTGTTAATTTTTCAAGTATTCATTGCTCATGCAGAGACTAAGAGAGAATACACTTCGCCTGACCGCCGCCCCGTTGGCTAGTCGTTGCGTATACACTGAAGTGTCTGCATAGGTTTTACAGTTTCGGGTTTTGTGTTTCCGGTGCATGTGCAGCTGCTCAGTTTATCTTTTCAGCTGTGATGAGGTTAAGATAGAGCTGGTGATTTCTAGCAGAGAAGATGGCGCGGCCGTCGCTGCCATCTGCTGAGGAGTCAACAGTCCTCATAAACGAATACTGCAATCAACACCATGAAGGCAAACTTGTATGTAAAGTGCATCCGCTTAAAGGCCGCACGCTGCGAGCCACACGAACTTTTCATGTCGGTGAACTCATTCTCCAGGAGCCACCGCTGCATGCAGTTCGCCTTGACCCCAAGAACCCCGCCTGCACCAAATTGATGCAACTTTGTGACAAACGCGCATTCACACATCCTGCCATTTGGTGAGCATAGCAACAGGCGAATACGCTCACAGGCATTGGCCTCAGCAGCTGCTGCTGTTGCAGCGGCAGCTGCTGTATGTGCAGCTGCTGCAGGTGCTGATGGCGCTGTTGCGCCTGAAGCTCCTGTTGTTGCAGTTGCAGCTTTTGCTGCCGCAGCTTCTGCTGTCGTTATTCACGTTGTAGCTGTTTCAGTTACAGATGTTGCAGCTGCAGCCGTTACTGTTGAAGCAGAAGAACCACCACAGCAGAAGCAACACCAAACCAAATGCAACAGAATGAAAGCAAGAACAGAAGGAATGCGTTTTGAGGCTGTCTGGTGTATGTACAGGTACTGGTGCGCTCTGAATTCCGTGTTGGTGGAGGGCAAAGATCGGCCAGTCGACGGCCTGCAGTTTGTAACACGTCGCCAATATGACCTCTTGCGTATTCTCTTTATACCTGAGACGGTGAAGCCCAGCATTGAAGGTAACCGCAGCTTGAATGTAGTGCAGAAACTGTCGT